TAAAATTTATTTAGATTGACAGGAGAACACCACAACAGATTTGTGATTGGTGGTCAGCCCCAGGCAAAAATCAAGACCCTTTCCAAAAATTAAAGCAATTAAAGGGTAATTAAATTAATTAAAAGGTAAAAACTATGTAATAAGAGAACTACATACGCTAAGGCCCTGAGATGATTATTCTCAATACCATGAAAATACTGAATTTATTTACAAAATATACCATAGTATTTAGAGAAATAGTTATTAGTCCTAAGAGCAGAAAAACACAGAGATGAGGCAAGGTATCTTTTATTGATTGCAAACATTTCTTATTATTTATAAGGTATCTACAGTACATTTTACAATTAAATGTCTTTATAAGGCCTCTAACATTTTTTAAAGAGAACTGAAATTCATATGAAATAGTTGACCCTTCACTAAAAACATAGTTTAAGGGCCAAGTGACAGTGGCCCTGTAATCCTGTTCAGGAGGCTGAGATTTGAGGATTGTTCTTCAACCAACAAGACAGGAAAAGTCCATGAGACTCTCATCTCCATTTAACAAAACAAACGAGCAGAAAAACAGTAGAGCTGTGGCTCAAGTGGTAAAGCCTTGAGCAAAAAGCCCTAGAACCAACTAACACACACACACACCACACACACACACACACACACACACACACACACACACACACACACACACACACACACACACACACACACACACACACACACACACACACACACACACAATGTAGAGAGGAAAAATATTTTGTTAACATTCACGTCAAACCCGTCATTTACATGTCTGACATAACATGACAGTTGAGAAATTAGAGATACCACTTGCCAAGAAAAACCTGAAATATTGGTGGCAATTAATTTAAAGAAGAAATTGCACTTTACTAAAGGAAACTTAGTTTTAACTAGATTGTATGTGAAGTGAGAGCTTTGTACACCCGGAAGTGATAGCTTTGTTTGCTGGATGGTGTTTCTCCTAAGCTTCTGTGAGCCCTGTTTTGCGAAAGTAAATGTGTTATAGGGTAATCATTTGTGCCTCAGATTGAGACCCAACTTACTGTTTTAATTCTAAACCTATATATACGCGAGAAGATCATTCTGTAACATGAGACTTGTTGCTTTTCTGTTCTTCTAGATGGAAGAAGATAAGGGTTCAGTCGGCTCAGCATATGAATTTGCTGAAAGCCAGCACAGAAGGGAGGACAGTAGGCACCTGCTAGCTGAGGCTTGCAGCCAGCAGGACAGTTGTTGCATGTACTAGGTAGTACTGCACTGAACCTTCCAGGGGACTCGTTTGCTGTGTTCTCACGCTTGGGACATGCCATGGGAGAACTAACCTAACATTTCCATCTTTGCCATTTCTCATTTTGGCTTAGTTCTTTTCCATTTTGTCTTTCACATGTTTTGTGTGTCTATTCTAAATGTCTTATGAATCTTTCTTGAGAGTGATAAATTATTCTTTATCCCAGATTCTATCCTAGTCAGATTTTCCCACAACCCGTTGGCACTTATCCCTTTGAAAACAAGTCAGGTAGTATTTATTATTTCTGAAGTCACTTCCTTCTTTTCCCTTTGAAGATAACTACCTAACATCAGATCTAAACCAAAGCAGCACTCTGCACATATGACACTCATTATGACCCTGTGGATGTCATCTTCAGTGAGTCCTTAAAAGGAAGCTGCTTAATACCAGCTGTGAGCAAAGCCCATGCTACTCAACTAAGACCTTTTGCTCTCTAGTTACTGCTTTAGTTCAGTACTCCCAAACGAATGTGCGAAAGGACCAGTTTGTTGTTCTCTTGTTCTTAATTTCCTATCCCTCAGGTACCAGTACTTTTATGAATATAATAAAAAATGAATATAATAAAATCATCCCCAATTTAAAAATTACTAGTGCATTCCACAGTTATAAAATTTCTCTAAGACATTCTAAACTAACTCTGACAGAGCGGACAGTTTTATGGGCAGTCACAGTGTACTCACAGGTTACCACTGGGCCCGGGGGCTTACTTCCAGTCACCCTGGTCACTTTATATGGGGTCAGTAGTAGTAACTGCTCCGTACTCTTCAGTCATGCTTCTGCTGACTCCATACTTCTGTCCAATCACAGCTATCCTCCTATCACCCTGTAAGGCCTTGTCTCACACCTTCAGCTATTGAAACCCCACCCGTACTCCAAGGTACATTTCAAATGCCATTTTTCATCAGATCCTCCATGCTTTCTTCCTAGTAACATCTAGGTTCCAGCCTTCTTTTCTGAGTAATCTGCTTCACACCACAGTTTTTTGTTGTTGTTGTTTAATATATTTTTGTTGTAAAAATACTGTACAGAGGGGTTACACTTACATGAATAAGGTAATAAGTACATTTCCTATCAAGCATTATTACCTCCTCGTTTGTTTTTTCCCCCACCATTCTTCCCTCCCACACTACAGTTTTAAAAAGGCAACATAGGCACTTGGCAAGAGTTGGGGTTCTAGAATGGAAGAAAACAAATCCAAGCTCCTGCTTGACCTCTCTTCACCTGAAGTGGGATGATTATAGTACCTATTCTGACTTATAGATTTAAATGAAATCATCTTGAGAAGCTTCTAGCTTAGTAACTGACACATACCTAATCACTCCATTAATATAACTGCAATTATTATTTGCAGCTGACTTACCTTTTCTTCTACTTTTTTTCATTATTTTTACCTCACCAGATTGTGGACAGGGTTGCTCTCCCCTGGCACAGAACCTTGCTTAGAAAACATGAGTTGACTTTAAGTGATGCTAGTGAGTAGAATAGAAGCCATAAGGAAAATTACTCATGATAGGAAAGGTGTAGGGAGTTTCCTGAAGATGAAGAAATTTAAAGTAAATTGTGGTATGGATTAGTATTTTGACCCTATGGTGACAACTCTGACATATCTAATTGGCTGATGTGCAGACTACATGAAAGGAGAGCCGGGAGGAAGCAGGGAGCTAGAGGACAACCTTCAGGGAGTAAAGTGTGTGCTGTATTCTTTGAGCATATGGCAGCACTGGAGCCCTCCTGTGGAAGCAAATTGAAACTGCAGCCCAGGGACCCAAAGACAAAACAGAAAACGGTTTCCTTCCTAAACCACTATCTCCCAAACTCTTTCTGTGAAATTAATGTTCCTTCTGGTGTTTGTTAGTATTTCCTTTTTCATGAGGAAGGAGCAGTTACTGAAAGCACAGGTTGTTGAATTAGGATAGTCTTCTCTTTGAAGAAGACTATCTTCAAAGAGAAGACTATCCTGACTTGTTGACAGTCTTTTACTTCAAAAGTCTGTTTAGAACTAGGTTGAATTAGTGTTTGCCGAGCTTAGTTGGCCATAGAACCTTAAAAAAAAAAAGTCTACAAACATCTCACAAAACAGTGTTTGAGAAACAGCACCATAAACAGGTTCATACTAGTAGTCCCAGTTACTCAGGTGAATGAGAGAGATGATTGCAGTCTGAGGCCAGCTCAGGCAGTAAATTAGCCAAACCCCATCTCAACAGAAAATCTGGACATGGTGGTGTTTGTATCTGTCATCCCAGCTATGCAGGAAGTATGAAGAGGATAACTGGCTGCCCAAGAAAAGCCAGAGCAAAGAGGGTTAGAGCATAGCTTAAATGGTAGAATGCCTTCTTAGCAAGAAAGAAGCAAGCCCTGAATTATTATTAAAGGAAGGGAGGGAGGAAGAGAAGGGAGGAGGATGGGGAGAGAAACAATCCTAAACAAAAGGTGTTTTAATAAAAGAATAAATAAGGTTTAGCTCTTTTCATAGGACAGATCTTTAGGACATTAGTATAGCCAGGCAATTGCCAAACAAGAGGTAAATTCGGTGTTGATATTCAGTGTTGTGCCAGGAGCACTCCAAGCATAGACCTTGCAGGATCTTACCAGTTGCTTACACTCAGAATGCCAGGTTGTCTACACCCTCCAGCATCTGTCGCATCCATCTTCTGTCCATTGCAGTTGTCTCCACAAATGTCCTGCGTTGCTGTGCCACCACATGCTGATTCCCAACCTTGCAGAAGTAAACCCTCTACTGAGTTTACTTTTATTCTTCTGTCCTCTGATCTTTAGAAGATTTGTTGTGTAAGGTGTCATGTATGTAAATGGAAGTGAATTTCAATTTTTTTTTAAATGACAACTCAGAAATTTAGCTCTAGCAAAAACAGGTTGGGATTCATTCAGTATGTGGTCAGATCATTTGTTTTTCAAATTAATAATTAAAACTGTTAATAGTATGGAATGGATTAGGGATATTTATACCTAAATAAATTTGCATATTTGAGAAACTGGTGAATGAGATCTTAATTAAATCTTAATATTACTACTTATTGTTTAATAAATTTCAGTCCATGTGCCTCCCGCTTATTGTTAAAATCAGAATAAACTGCTTATAGGAATGAATACTTTCTTCAAAGATGATTGTGGAGTAGGTCCTTGTAAAGTGCTTAGAACTGGCTTATAGTTGTACCACTTAAGTGTTTGCTACTGTTATTATTTCCATTCATATTGAGGAGCAACCTAGACCTACCTGGGTGTAGGTCCTGCCTGGCTGTTACTGACCAGCCTTCAAGGTGTTTCTTAACTCCACCATTCACAACTGCTGGACATGTGTTATTGTGGTTGCAGCAACATTTCACCTGAATAAAAGCCCCAAGAAGAAAGAATTCACTATGTTTCTGAGTGGTTGAGTCAAACCAGTTTGACCATAATAAATTACTAAAATACTAAAAAAATTTAAATCCTTGTAGCTTTAAATGGCTACTCGCGTTTATATAATTATTTGCTAGCCTTATAATTAGAAACAAAAGCCTTAATATTTTATAAGATTATAACCTGCTAAAGTTTTTCATTCCTTTCCATATTATAGGAAAAACATGTTCATTTATATACATTTCCTTGTGTTTTAATTGGTGTTTTGTACATTGCTTTAGTGTTCGGGTGAGTACAAACCTATAAATAGCTCATTTTTTTCCCTTTCCTTCTACTCCTCCAGATTACTGAAACAAATTCAAGTATCAAGTGCTTGGACTCCATGTGCTGTTTCCCAGAAGGAGAAACAGCATGCGCATCTGTTAGAAGAATGCTGGAACGAGTTATAGGAAGATGTAGTCCTGCCCACATCAGCAGGTGTGACATTTCTTTAAGTAGCCTTTGCTGCAGATGAATATCCTGTAAATTGAACAGGATGAACCTGCAGCTTTGGCTACCCAGTAAATGAGCAGATGATTGTTCCAATGGAGAGAGAGTCTACTAGTCATTAGCACAGCACACTTTGATGGTAGATTTCACTTCATGGCTTTGTGGTAGGGATCTTCCACTCACAAAGCAAGAGAAAGCATCTTTGAAGACACTCTTCACCCATTGAATAAAGAATTTATTCTGTCTTACATTTTTTTTTCCTAAAATATGGTGAATAGGAGTGTATAAATGGTATTCTTTCTTGGTTTGTATAACTTTTTTATTATAACTATACTGTTTCATTTCCTACTGTTTTCTTTGTCTTTACAAAACATTTTCCATATATAGGGAAGTCAAGTTTTTGCTTTTCTTATTCCTCATGTGTATTTTATAGTTAGTCATTCAAAATTAAACACAGACTGTATTTTTGTTCCTTCCCCCATCTTAAAGATGTCTATAATGTGATTTTTAAGTTTTTTATTTGGTATTTAGTGTCTGAATAAAAATTTGTAAGTTAGAACACGACTTGACCTACAAATTTTAAGTATTATTTAAATTATTGATCAGAATAGTCTTAGCATTTTTGTTCCCTCCTAGATCTGTTTCTTGATTACATTTATCGCAGCTTAAATAACAAAAGAAATACCATGTTTTGGTAAATGCCATCTAAAATTCATTTAAAAAGTGAGGTGGATTTATTTCTTTATATTTACCCAAATTGTGAATCATTATTGAGGGATATTAAAGAATAGATAATAGCTTTTTCTACTTTTGGTATTCTTTAGTCAAATATATCCCAAAATTAGAGCAGCAGTGTACCACTGATAGATGCTGACTTTAACTGTGCTACATGGATACTGTTCCTTCTGCACGAGCAGTGAATAAAGGGTGGGGAGGCACTGTTTTTACCTATTGATAAGAGAATGTTTAAAACTTCTTTAGCTTTGTGTTTTTAAAGTTATGACTTATGGTACCATTCATGTATTGTAAAATTCCAATAACTTTCACTGATGAGCTTTCTAACTGTTCACTTCTACTTTTCACTCTGCCATGTCTTTATGGAAGAGTTGAATTGACGTATCACATTTCTTTGTTAATATAATACCTATAATTTCAATTCCCATTCTAATTTAATCACAACCTGTAATCCAAAATATTTCTTTAATTCTCTGATATAATTATGCAGTAATCCCATCCTGCATAAACATTATTATGAACAGTTAAATTTGTTGGGACTTATTAACATGGTTTTACTGCACAGAGACAAATTTGGAAGCAGAATAATATACAAGTTGAACTTGTATATAATTTTAATTTCTACTTCAAGAGAAATTCATAATATACATCTTTGCTAATGATTTTTAATTTTAAATGAGCCAAAAATTCTGCATTATACACACACATATCTGCTTTCCTATATCAGTTGTCCAGTTCTTCATGCAGCCATTTTTCTGCTTCATTATCCCTTTTAACCTGTCCCAAGGGTTATTGGATTTATTTTGATGTGTTCTCTCAAAAGGTGACTGTTACTATCTATACTTATATTCACTCAAAAATGTATCATATTCTTTTCTAAGGTTCTTTTCTAATCGAATGTTTAACTTAATAATGGTCATATTTGGCAGAATATATATGCCTTTCCAGAGTTTCCCAGTATGTCAGGATGTATTATTGTTTACTATTGTGATTTTCTTCCTCAGAGAAATAATCTAAAAAGTCTTTTCAGATCTAACTTTCTCTAGGGGATAAGATCCTACAAGGCATAGAGCTACCTGGTGCTTTCCAAAGGGCTGTATGACAGCTGTCGCAGGTCCTTCAACATTGTAGTCATTAGATATGTGCAAGTTTTTTCTACGTATAGCTATGTTGTGAAATATGTTTGCCATTTTGATTTTGGAACACCTTCTACCCAATGTTTTTTTATGTCTAATTTAAAGAATAGAGCAAAGCTGAGACCTCCACTACAAGATATAGACGCAAGATATAGAAGCCCTGAGCTAACTGCTCCATTGACGTATTAAATGTAATATCAAGGAGCAGTACTTGAGAAATGTAACTGTGTTTTCAAATGATGAGTAAATTTTGCCATCCAGACATAAAAATTTTAGTTACATTTTATTCATTGGTTGCCAGAGGAGTATGCCATGGAACAAACTCTGGTATTTGCAAAGAGAGCACCGTAAACCATATTCTAAAGAGTTGTATTTCAGCAATGAATTGCTTTCTATACCTTTTAAAAGAGGTAAGATGGTCATAAACCTGTAACCTCAGCTACTCAGGGAGATTGCAGCCTGGTTCAAGACCAGGCTGGACAACTTAGTGATTCTGTCTCAAAAAGGCTGGAGGAGTAACTCACAAGTAGAGTGCTTGCCTAGCATGTGCAAGGCCTTATGTCCAAGCCCCCATGCCAAAAGGAAAACAGGAAAAAGAAAGGAGTTAATAATATATAGATCAGGTTCTTTGGTAGTACTGAGTTTGAACTCAGAGCCTTATGCTGGGCTAGACAGGTGCTTTACCACTTGAGTCACCCCTCCCACCCATCAAAGGGGTATTTAAGGTAAATGATTCTTAAAAGGATTTTTTAATGAAGGAAACCTTATTTGATCAGATTTCCTCTATCTAAACAATTACTATAAAGAAGAAAAAACTATATATATATATATATATATATATATATTATTAGCACTTTGGAATTGGACACTAGACTCCAGATAATTGGGGTGTAGACAGTTTCAGTTTAAACTCTTCCTCTCATAAATACCCTGTAAAAAATCCTCAGATTCTTATTTTGATTCACTTTTTTTCTGCACATACTGAAAGCCTAATATGTAGCAGACACAGATCTGAGTGGTGAGTGAGCCCTTTCCAAATCTAAGGTAGATGTTGCTCAAGCTTTTTCAAGCTTTTCTGGAAATGCTGACTGGTATAGTCGCTGCTTGTTTTCTGTTTGCACAACTTTGCAAAAGTTTGAGATTCCAAACTTCATTGTGATTGTGCTTACTTAATCATTAATATAAACTTGAACTGCATGCAGAGTGAGTCTCTAGGGAACAAAATACTGACTACTGGTGACTTGGGGCCAACTTGAATACCAATTTCTTCCTCTTATGTCCCTGTTTAGGAGAAGTGGGAACCCTGACATGTTATATAAAAAATGAAAAACTCCCAGCAAGAGCACCAGACCCTGACTTTAAGCCCCAGTAATGGCATTGAAAAAACAAAAACAACAGTATTGATTGTTAAATGTTTTTAGTCTCATCAAAAAGGTTACTTTTGGGGCTGGGAAGATGGCTCAGTGGTAGAGTGCTTGCCTTGCATGCATGAGGCCCTGGGTTCGATTCCTCAGTACCACATAACAGAAAAAGCCGGAAGTGGCACAGTGGCTCAAGTGATAGAGCACTCACCTTGGGCTGAAGAGCTGAGGGACAGCGCCCAGGCCCAGATTTCAGGCCCCATGACTGACCCCCTACACACACACACACACACACACACACACACACACACACACACACACACACACACACACACACACACACACACACACACACACACACACACACACACACACACACACACACACACACACACACACACACACACACACACACACACACACACACACACCGCAAAAAGCTACCTTTGCACCTTGGGCTGAAGAGCTGAGGGACAGCGCCCAGGCCCAGACTGACCCCCTACACACACACACACACACACACACACACACACACACACACACACACACACACACACCGCAAAAAGCTACCTTTGCACCTTGGGCTGAAGAGCTGAGGGACAGCGCCCAGGCCCAGATTTCAGGCCCCATGACTGACCCCCTCCACACACACACACACACACACACACACACCACAAAAAGCTACCTTTGTTTGGTGGTCCTGATAGTGTCATCCTTAAAATAGGACAGTCTGTTATAACATTATCTGGCTACTTTTGGTCTTGAGTTACTTTAAATTTACTCTGGCTAGTTTAAGTATATAGCAACAGATTAAATTGCTTACATGCCATATTATTCAGATGGTAGGTAACTTTTCCAGACCAGAAAAGGGTTGTTTTTATTTTTTCTTTGTTACTGGCAGATGTCTTTGATTTTTTCTTTTTGGTCTTGGGGCCTGAACTCTGGGCCTGGGCGCTGTCCCTGAGCTCTTCAGCAGTCTAACACTTGAGCCACAGCACCACTTCCAGTTTTCTGGTGGTTTCCTGCCCAGGCTAGCTTTGAACTGCAGTCCTCACATCTCAGCTCCCTGAGTAGCTAGGATTACAGGTGTGAGCCACTGGTGCCCGGCTTTGATATCTTTTAAATAAACTTTATTTACTACATTGAAGCTAACTAGCCTGAAATCTTTAGTGTAGAATGAGTAGCTGAGAAGAAGTTGCCAGTAATATGAACATACTACTATTTTATTCCAAGGCTTTTGGTAAGTGGGAATTTGGGTATTATTTTTTCCTATTATGTCAAAAATATGACCTAGTTGCTTTTCTGTAAAACTGAATCCATACAATTCTTAATAACTTAAACACTCATTAAATTATTAGATTTTTAAGCATCTCATACTTCATATAGAAGTTGTTTTAATACTAATGACTTCTGAATTTTGGCTAGTGTTATATAATGATTAGAGCCTAACTTTCCCCATTTTTGTATTGTACAAATAGATGAATACTCAGTGCTAATCCAAAGAACCCTAGTTTTTAAAAACACATCCATCACTGATTATTTTAAAATTCAAATTTCATTTTGGTCCTAAGTTTAAAGTCAGTTTGAGTGTTTTTTTTTTTCTCTCTCTCTCAATTTAAACATAGGTCTTGGTGAGCCAAATTTTTTTCTTATTGTTGCTTTAGATCATGGAGTGCATCGGATCCTTTCTATACCAACGACAGGAGCATCTTGACACTCTCCACAATGGACTCATCTACTTGTTAAAGGGCAGTAGTACTTTGTGGAGATGATTCTCCTCCTTTCTGCAGATTCAGGGTGATAATCCTGAAAGTGGCCACAAGAGTTCCAAAATTATCTTGTGACATCTCTGGTGTAGTCCATACTCACTCAGAGTTAAAGTGGCAAACAAACAGAAAACATCAATATGAACTGTGCTTCTCTCTCCTTAATTTTAATCTGGACCTATTAAAATATGTGAATAAAGAGTTATTTTCAATCTCTTTGTCTGGGTTGTCCCTTCTGCTTTGGGACTTCTGATAGCATTTCACTCTGTTTCTGAGGTCATTGTATTTTAATACCAACATAAAAAAAAAAAGATTAGTTATGTGTATTTTTTAGGATTAGCCTGGTTATGAAATCTTCTATCTAAATATGCTTCTGTAAATTATGCTGCAAGTTTGCCTTGAGAACTCTTATTTTTTTATTAGAGTTATATTTAAAGTTTTTCATGGGAGAAGTTAATGTGAATTTTAAGGAATCTTGGTCCTCAGTGACCTTTGTTGTTAATTCATTAATGCTTTATAAGTTCACAGAGCAAATTAGGAGAATGCACTTACAACTATTGTTTACTGCAGTATAGTGGTAAATTTATACTGATTCCAAATTTCTCTAAATGTGCTGTGACACAATTAGTAAAGTTAACCATATAAATGCAAAGGGTATATCATACATATAATGTCAGAAATCAACTTCCATTTGCCAAATTTCAAATTGATGGGCTTAAGTAGTATTTTTTATGATAGAATGTGAAGAACTTATAATGGATAAATTAAATACCATTATATTATTAATTTAGTGTCTTCATTGGATCCTTTGCATGCTTTTAACGTGGCTAATATATGTAGATTTCCTGTTTGTCTCTTTATCTAAAGATTCTGTTTATAGTTATTTTGTGATAATATTGTAAAGCTCAGATATATCAATAAAACACAAGTTTGGACAGTATTTAAATATTGCAAATACTTTTGATTTTACAAATCAAAATATAAGTAATTAAATCAATAAAAAGAGGAATACCTCTTTTGTGCCTCTTTCTGGAATAATAAGTTGCCCACAACTTACAATTTCAGCTTATAATTGCTCTAGGCTTTTTAGAAACTAGACTTTAGAATCTTGCTATTTTTAGGTTAATAGATGCTATCTAAGACATGGCAGACTACCCCAGTAAAGTAAATGTTGCCTAGATCCCTTCATGAGGAATGTTGTCAGAAACGGCTATCAAACGTAAAGGAAGCAGCATAAATTGCCAAATTTTTATTGGCAGAAAATTAACTGTAGCTGTAGGAAATTATGATGCTATGAAGAGTTAAACTCCTAAGTAACTTATTGCATCTCAAATTTCCATCCCAAACTTATTAGGTAGATTCAGTGTTGTTACTTTTCTAAATGTTTGAAGATTCATCAATGAGTATAGGTTTAAAAACATTTTCTTAGCACTGTGTAATGATTAAATACAAGTGCATTTAAAATTGTAAGCAAATGGTTAAATGAAGGTGTTCCCTTGAGAATAGAATTGCTTTTTGAAGATTCATTATTCAACTCTCCACTCCTTTCTTGTTTTATGAGTATATGTCTTCTGGACTTGAGCTGGTAAGGAAAGAATGGCAAACCAAGAATTGAGACATTGCCTTTGTTTGCTAGTCTTTGTTTGCTTGTCTGTTTTAACAGTGCCAGGACATTGTTACCTACTTTAGACTTTATGTGATCATAAATAGCCCTTTGTAACTGTAGCATAGATAGCTTTAGGAAAGTTTGTTATTTTCGGGGCTGGGAAGGTGGCTCAGTGGTAGAGCGCTTGCCTTACATGCCTGAGGCCCTGGGTTCGATTCCTCAGCACCACATAAGCAAAAAGAAAAAAAGCCGGAAGTGGCACTGTGGCTCAGGTAGTAGAGTGCTAGCCTTGAGCTGAAGAACTGAGGGACAGCGCCCAGGCCCAGAGTTCAAGCCCCACGACTGGACCCCCCCCCCCAAAAAAAAAAAGAAAGTTTGTTATTTTGGAACGGCATGAAAGGGATAATATAATGCACAGTGTTTACACTCACCTGTTCATGCTCAGAAACAACTTATCTAGAAATAGTAGGATACTTCATAGACTGAAATTTGCTTTCTTTACATAGTCTTACAAAGTATATAACATTCAGTAGGCCTGCATGACCTCTAATGTTTACAGGGCCATCAAGTAAACAGTCTGCTCACAAAGGACACGAGTCATTGAGTTGTCCTTGGACAACTGCAGCAAAGCAGGAGGTCAGCTGCTCCACCGTGAGCTCTGGTGGGCTTGACTGTAGGAATATTTTGCACTTACCATTTGTAGTTAGTTAAGAAGGGTTGGGTTTGGTTTTGGTGGTGCTGAAGGTCAAATTCAGTTTCATGCATGCTAAGCAAGCACTCTATCACTAAGCTACATCTCTAGCTCGTATTTTTTTCTCAAAAAAATTTTTCATAAATAAGGCTAGAGTGTAACTGAGCGTAGAGCACTTGCTTAGCATGGGTGATGGCCTGCATTGCGTCCTAGCACCCCAAACAGCATCCACTTGTGTGCTCATCCTGCTTTGTCATTCAAAACAGTATACATTCTAAATGGGGCTTTTCTCCTGTTGATTTAAGAAAGTATCAGTGCAGTCTGCAATCTCTCAGTAGTCTTCCAGTGCTAATATTCATATTCTAAAACTACAAAGTAAGTAGTCAGAAAATCTTGCTTTCAAGCTCTTTGGGAAGTACCTAACTTATCTGCCAAACCCAGAGCAAGATGCTAAATGTGTTCATGATAGTTAACAAATGGTCTCAAATCTATTTGTCCACCCCTGCTTACCTTTGCCTAGTCTCAAGCCTGTAGACCTGAAGATAGTGACAAGCACTCTGCTCTCCTCCACAGCTGCCATTAGTTTCTAGAGGGGCTTGGGCTCCCTGCTCAGATGGAGCAGTGTGGGCAAAGGAGAACTACAGTTGCTAAGTTAGCTTGATAAGGGGCTAAGAGAGGGGAGAGAATTAATGGTCTCATTTTCTCAACTTTCTTTTGGGCTTAAAGCTCTGGAATATAATAAAGCCTTTCAGAGCTGACCCAAACCTTGAGTAGGAAACAGCAAATCACCCTCCTAGGAAACGTTTACACATAGCCCTATTCTAGTACCAGAACTTGAGGTTATTTCTTCTGCAGAAGATTGTGGAATTAAACTTCTCTGATAAGCAGAAGTAAAGGCCACTAAAATTTTTACAATTCAAAATATGTGACCTTGAAGCCACATACAGGCAGCTCACTCCTGTAATCCTAGCTGCTCGGGGCTGAGATGAGAGGATTGAGGTTTGAAGCCAGCCTGGCAGGAAAGTCTTGTGGGACAATCTCCAATTAACCACCAAAAAGCAAAGCAAAGCTATGGCTGAAGTGGTAAAGCATTAGCCTTGAGCAAGAAAAGTCAGGAACACTGCCCAGGCTCTGAGTTCAAGCTCCAGGACCAGCACAAATATATACATGCTACTCTGAAGACATCCTGGTGAATAGGGGAAAGAGAGATGTTCCTTGGTTCCAGGCTTGTTTTCCCGTAAAAATCAGCTTGAAGTATAATACGAATAAGTGTTAATAAAACTAACCAAAGAATTTTATGTAAATGTGTTTAATTAAATTTTGGCCCCCTTTATAGATGCTTTTATTTGTAACTTAAAATGTGTCATCTATTTTCATAAAAAATATGCTCTTTAATGTGAGTAACTTGAATGATATTCCTACAAAACAAATCACAGTGGTGTTTGTAAAGGTGACATGATTTTTATGAGGAGTGCACAGCTGGAAATACTGTAGCAGTGCAAAGTTTAAAACTTCAGACCTCACACTGTGGCTGTCTAATGTACACCTTTAAAAGTTTTTGACATCAGTAATTGTATCTATTGTATAACCCTCAGTAATTTTTTAAATTTATGAAATTATATTTATCAAATAAAAGTTTTCCTATGTAATTAATTGTTGCTCTATTTTTTAATGACTTTTACGACTCTGCTTATCATAACCAGCAATACAAACTTGTCTTGTTAAATTTAACTATATCATCTGTTACAGTACAGGAATATCATTTAAGGATTTTTTAATACAGAACTTTTTTGAACACCCAGCTTTTATAAGATAGAAAAATGCACTAACTGTAGAGACAGACATCCCTACTAAAAATAGCATCACTTGTGAAAAGCTAGATGAGGATGCCTATGTATTTGGAAATGCCCACGAGATAGAAAGTGTGCCTTCAAGGAATGGAACTGATAGGATGTAGGCTTGTAGGGTTCTGTGGCTTACTAGTTGCCAGTTAGAGCACAGACAATTGTTTAATCTTCATTTTTTAAGTTAAACTCTTGTCTCTGCCCATGTGTTAGTATTTGCAAAGTATGAAATACATGTTATATGGTTTATTTCTCAGATACACAATTGTGGTCAGGTCAGTTTAAACATGGTGTGTGTAAATTGTGAGACAGTGCCTTTCTGCATAGCCAAGGTGGCTTTGTGCTGTGGCTTCATGCTTTGCCTTAGTCTCCCCAGAGCTGGGATTTCAAGCTGGCCACCATGCCATAATAGGCATCTGTTTTTGTATTTTAAAAAGTATTTAAAGAGCTCTATCTGTTTGGTGGTGCATACCTGTAATCCCATCATAACGGTGAGTCTAAAGGAGGAAGATACTGAGTTCAAGGATATCTTGGGCTATACAATGAGACCTTGTCTCTAAATGAACGCTTTAAATCAAAAGATATCCAGCCTGGGCAGACAAATCTAACACAGAACATCACAAAACGTGCATATTGAAGAACATGCCAAAAAAAAAATCTTACAGAAGCATTTCACTTGGAAATTTAGTGAGCTCAAACAATTTGAAGGCTAGGCACCAGTGGCTCACACCTGTGATATTAACTACTCAGAAAGTAGGGATCTGAGGATTGCAGTTAAAAACCAGCCTGAGCAAGAAGGCCCATGAAACTCTTTACCTTCATTTAACCAAAAAGCCTGAAATGGAACTGTGGCTCAAGTGGTTGAGTGCCAGGGACAGCACCCCAGACCTTGAGTTCAAGCCCCAGGACATACACCTAATAAAAGTAAAAGGTTCTCTAGCCATAAAAGAAACACAAATCAAAACAACAACAGATGCTGGAGGGATGTGGCCAAAAGGGAACCCTACTGCACTGTTGGTGGGATTGTAAACTTGTTCAACCACTTTGGAAAGTAGTATGGAGTTTCCTCAAAAGACTCCACATAGAGCTCCCCTATGACCCAGCAATCCCACTTTTGGGCATTTACCCAAATGATCACAAACAAGGTCATACTAAAGCAACCAGCACAACTGTGTTTATTGCAGCATTATTTACCATAGCTAAGATATGGAACCAACCCAGATGCCCCTCAGTAGATGAATGGATCAAGAAAATGTGATATATATAGAGAGAGATATGTAGATGAATTCTATGCCTCCATCAGAAAGAATGACATCTCCCCATTTTTAGCAAATGGAAAGACTTGGAAAAAATTGTACTAAGTGAAGTAAGCCAGGCCCAAAAAACATAGGTCCCATGGTTTCCCTTATTTTCAATAACTAGTATATGTCTGAGTCAAGCAGAAAAGGTCAAAAGCTATGAACATATGACCATATA